CTGTGTACAGCCCATCATCTTCTTGTGTTGGCTCACCAAATGTCAGGGTGTTGTCCTGTCTGGCAGGTGCTGCAGTGGACCAGCCCAAGGCACTGCACGGTGCCAGCATGACAGCTCCACGCTTCCCACCCTCCTACACTTACCATAAACCTCTGAAGAATCTTTCAGAACTTTTTGCAGATAATGTAAATCTGCATTTTAGCTTTTGAAGCTGCTCTTCAGACTGATAGAATGCATAAATTTCCTTTGGGCTAATCCAGAAATATAATTAGAATGATGTATGTAGCACACAGTATCTTTCCACTGGAGCATGATCAGCAGCCGTGTTAGCCAGTAAATCAGAAAGCAAAGGAAATCTAAAACTGACTGAAGTCAAATCAGCAGTATAACAAAAAGAGACAGCTAAGTATATTTTAGTCTCTGCAAATATTTGTAATGTGTGCTCATGGGGCAGTATCAACGTACATATATCTTTTGGCTCTGCTCATGCATTAATATGAACATGTTATTTGTTCTTTCAGCCCAATGTACTGACATCAGTATTAGCTGTTTCTAAAACATTACTAAAGCTTTTTCTAGATATCATAGTAAACTATTGTCAGTCTGGTTTTAAATTTAATACCTCTCATAGAAGTAATCTCACAGCCCACCTGAACTCCTAGATCAATATGCTATTAAAGCCAGGGCAGCTTATCACAGACTTTTAAACCTGTCATCTAAAATTACTTTCTTCCCACCCCACTTAAATTTTCAAACTTCCTATAAACTCTTGAATTTATGACTGCACTGGTTTTGGTCACATGTCGTGTATTTGAAAGGTGGCCACAGTTTGATAGCACTGTAAAAAGAAATAGTAATAGTGACTTATAATGCTAGGTCTCTGTATAAGGTGAAATTCTGATTAACTGAAGTCAGCAGAAGTTTTACTATTGGCCTGCAAGGGTTCATGACTGCATCTTTTACATCTGTCCTGTATCATTATAGGATTTATCAGCAGATATAATGCTTTAGGGGGATTTTTCTGTAACTCCTCACCAATTTATATAGGTACCCAGCAGGTAAGCACTCATGAACTTTTGTAAGAAATGGATAAGGCTTCTGGTTACTTTAGAACCAGAGTAAAGTTGCTAACACCAATTTAGTTATTCTGGATTTATTTTGACATAACCAAAAGTAAATAGACCCTCAGTTTGAAATTACATTAATCCTCTTGGTCTTAATGAACCCAGCCAAATCACGAAGCTCATGTGTGAAGAAGGCAAGCAGTCCAGTCCTAAGACTTCACCACACAACAGCACACAGAGAGATTAAGGACTTGGCTTTCTTGTTCCTTCCTAATTGATCCTAAAATAATGGGTTTTGAAGCTTTCAAACCATCTGCAATGAGAACAGAGGACATTTTTAATCTAATAATATTCAATTTTCAGCATAAGTCCCACCTTTTAGAACTAACAAGTAAGACAAGTGTAGTTAAGTACAAAAGTGGCACATTCACAGTGCTCGGTGGAGGTGAGGAATGCCCTCCTGGCATGGTGTTTTTGCCCTTGCTGGAGTTAGCAAGGTATCATCCTTCATCCTAAGTTATCAACTGACCAGAGACTAGTGACAGAGACATCTGTGTTCTGTGTTTGATCAAGTATTGTTAGCTTGGGAGAGGAGCCTGCTTGTTAGGGAGCACAGAGTTGGTGAGTTTCAGCTTCTTTATTGGAGAAAACCTACAATTTTTCTGATGCAAATTCACTGAAATCTCCTGAATGTATTTATTGTTGTGGAATTGCTAAAGTAAGGTGGTCTCCTACACTTACATAAGTGGCAAAGAGGTTGCTAGAAGAACACCACACAGCCCAAGAATATTGAATGTAATGTTCACACATTTTCTAAACATTAAATATCTGAAATACTTCTAGGTTTTAAATGTTTCTCAAGAGTGTTGGTAAGCCCTTAAGCAATGGGCTGGTATAAGGTCTAATCAAATGCAAAGGAAGAACAAAAGAGAGAGGAGAAAAGTTGACTTCTGCATTTGTAATTATTGTTCTGGTATTAATGAGGTCAGATCCAAAGCCTATATGAATCTATATGGGATTAGCAGTAACACAATTACTGTCAGAAACAAGGTTTTCACACTGCAAACATCTCTGTAACTTAGAGATTTTAATGAAACAAAACTTTCTTGTATATAAACATAATTAGGATGATCTCAGTGAAGGCAATAATTGGTCTAAGTCAAGTGTAAGATACTTTGGAGTATGGATTTCCTTTTTTTGTATATTTTATTCTTGATTATCCTTGGATTCCCAGGAACATAACTCTGAGCTATATTGCTGCCTGTGTGAAGCAGCTAATTTGCACTTGCAGAATGGTTTGTGAGTCCTCATGAGTGAGGTGCTGCCATTCCAGTCTTGCACACATCACTTTTGACAGACATACTAGAGCATTTCATGCACATTGGAAAAGGTGCTTCTTGAAGCAATTTTAGGAATTCTATGTACAATTATCATATTTGCATTTGTAAATACTATTACTGCAAAGTTAAATTTCAAAATAAAGGAAGTCAAGAACTGAGCTTTCCTATGTGGTCTCAATTTGCTTCCCGTGTGTATGTGTTAAGATATTGCCTCTAATTGTTTGACTACTTATTATTTTTACTCCACAACTTCATCTTTATTTTGAAAGCAGAGTGGATGGTACTTCTTCGATAGCACCTATTCACAATTTTGTCTTCTTCTTTTTAAAAGTGCTGCCATTACTAGTGGCACAGTATTCAAACTTTAGACTGAAGTTGAGTCATTTTGGAGTTCCCTATTTAAAGCACAGAGGGACTTGGTTTTATAAAGTTCAGGCAAAAGGTGGCACAGGGCATGGATAGTTAACGTGTAGGTAAAGCTTCCCTTGTCTGCACTGGGTGGTGGGCTCAGAGTTTCTTCATCCCATCCCCTAGAACCACAGGTAGGGTAGATGCTGGGCATGTGGTCACACCTCTTCCAGTCTGGGGTCCTGTCTGATTAAACATGGGATTTAAACAAGGTCTTAGGTGAATGCAAGGCTGTTACTGTTTCCTCTCTGTCAGGAATGAGATGACTTCCTGAAGGAACCCAAACTCTGTTTCTCCACACCTGGAGGGACAGCAGTGCAGCCTGCCCCTGTCTGGGGCTCCAAGACAGACAGGTGTGGGTCAAAGGTGGTGGATTCACTATCCCTGGAGGTTCTCAAGATGAGACTAGATGTGGCACTTAGTGCCATGGTATAGTAACCTTGGTAGGGTTGGACTCAATGATCCTTGAGGTCTCTTCCAACCCGGTTGATTCTGTGATTCTATGAAAGTGAACTCCAAGGTTGCCCTGGCACTCCGAGGGGTGCTGCATGTTTGGAGCGTATTGGGTCTCATGGCTTTGCCCATGGTGGGGTTCACAGCACAAAATCACAACCAGGAGAGAAATTCAGCCTTCACAGCTCCCTGCTTGTGTGTTACCCACACCGCACAAGTAAGGGAATTGTTCCTGCACAGAAATAGCTGAAGAGAATTCTAATCAGCCATTTCATCTGGATCAGGACCTGTGCAAGTTTTGACTGATTGAAGGTGACATGTTGAACTTTAATTGGAATGAGAGGATCCTAAGTGACGAAGCTGGTTGCTTTACAGGCCTTTTAAGTAAACAAAGGGCTTTTAGCACCAAGCTGCAGCTGACTTAGTGGAAATTAAACGTAGCCCTAAATTCTGGCATTTACTGTTTTGGAAAGAATGAAGTCAAATAATCTGGAGCTTTAATGAAAATACAAGTATTAGCAAAATCAGCAGG